GGGAAGAGAAGAAAGGGAGAAAGAAGGTAGAGAAGAAGGAGTGTGGATACAGTGAAAAGGGAAATGGGCGAGCAACATCAAAAGTCATGTGTATGTATTTATTTCATTTTATTAAAAGTATATATGAATGTTAAAAGAATGTATGTTAACATCTGATAAATATCACGGTATATGTATGGGGGAAAGTTTGGAAAAATAAACAATTATTTTAAAAAAAATAGAAACTCTTGAATAATCTCAAAATATGTGAAGGGTACCAAGCTGGAGGCGCTCATCACTTGGCTAAAATATTTCCAAATAATACCATTAAGGCCTGCTTACCTTCACTGATGCCTAGTCCACTACGCTTATATGACAATCAGCAGTAGTAGAAGCAAAACATTAGTGGAAGTTTAGGGCAAAATAGGAGGAGGAATGAGTATTAGATATGTTGACCACTTTGAGTTATTTATAAGAATAAAGGGTGGATATAAATAAAGAAAAATAATAATAAAAGTTGACAGATTTATTGAATTTTTGCTCATTATGACAACAAACATGCTTCACTTTGTTGCAGTTACAGATGGAAGCCTGCAAGTGAGAATAATGTATGCTTCAGCATTTCCTTTGCCAGTTGTGCTGGCAATACTTGCTAATATCGTTGCTCCATCTTGATTTTGGTCTCTTTGGTGGATGCTTTTTATCAAGTGGGATCCATTCTGGAACTCCCTTGGTCCACCTGCCATCAGTTCTTCTTGGTATGTGCAACCAGCTCATTTCCATTTCAATTCTTTTACTCTCTTGATATCGTATACTTTCTTTTGTATAATTCAGCATACAACACTTAAGTAAGAGCATTTGGCGCAGAGTGCAGTAGTTCTTTGGGCCCCTAGAATGGCCCATGTTACATCCTTGCTCTGCGAGCTGCAGATTGCTGGTTTGCTTCTGGGTGCAATTCAAGGTTTTGGTAACTATCCAAAAAGCCGTTTATGGCACGGATCCAGGTTACTTGAGGAACTATCTAACCTCAGTGGGACTGGGACTGCCTCACCCGTGCCAACAAAGGGGCATTCTATGTATCCCTTCTGTCAAAAAAATTTGCCTAGCGGGGTTCAGGAGAAGAGCCTTCTCTGCCAGGGCTCCTGCCCTCTGGAATATCTTACTCCCTGAGGTGAGATTGGCTCCCCCACTTCTGACTTTTCATAAGAGCCTTAAAACCTGGTTTGGCCAGATGACTTGGGGTGCCAATGGGGGAACTTCATACTGGAGGCAGATGACTAAAAGCTAATCTCACCTCCCCCCCCCCCATCTATCCAGCTCCCTTCTTCTCTATCGTATGTTAATGATTTTATTTTGTCTACTCTGTCATTTTATATCCAACAATTTTAACTGTCTTTTTAATGTTTATTATGCTGTAAGCCGCCCAGAGTCATTTGAAATGAGTTGGGCAGTAACTAATTAACTAACTAAATTTCTATCATATATGCTACTAAAGATGCAAGGATACATGGTAGGGACAGGTGCAAGCAATAAGGAGAAAGAGACCTTAATAGCCTTTAAAGATTTAGACTCAGAGGCTCCCTATCTGGGTTGAGTCCTTAGCAAGTGTAATTGATTTAATTGATCTGAATTTCTAATTTAAAATGGGGGGATGTCCCTTCTTCCATTTTGAAATCAACTAAATGATGTGGGTACTTCTCTGTGCCATTTTGATATTGAAAAGCTAGTATCTGAAAAGGCATTTGATCTTTTGAACTGCTTCCGGGATAGTTAATCTCCTTGCCTAACTTCATTAAGCAAAGTTCCAAGTTTGGGTGTCACAATAGTTGAGACAAAGGTGTCAGCCCAATTCCATTCTCTAATTTAGCAGTTCATTTAGTAGGATGTGAAGATTAGTCACACCACACTTTGTAATCTTCATTTTGTTACTTTTGCATTTCTCTAGATTTAGTGATCTATATCAAGGAAGAGAAGGTTAAGAAATCAAGAGTAATAAGGACATTTAACTAGGAACTGACACATTAACACAGAATATTAGCTTTTAGTATTAATGGTAATGGTTACTTTAATAACCACACAAGTAATATTCAGAAAGTAACGGGAAGTCATGTCTTCCAAATGGCATTTCAATAAGAAAAGGAAAGCAAAAGCAGAGCCCCAAGTCCCCCAGGTTGAGATGGGCTGCCATAACTACCAGTTGTCTATGGAGATTCTCGGGTCATGGTTGTATCAAAGGTGCTTTTTCCAAAAGGCAATTGGACTTTCTTGGGGTTTTTTTGTTTGAAAATACTTTGTTTCTTACCCATGATTCAAAGGTTAAGCAAGAGTCAGACCTGATAGTTCATGAGTGAAAAAACCACCAGGGAATTCAGAACTATAAATGAGGTATGGAAGTCAGTCAAAGTCCTGAAAGAAGGCATTGGAATCTCAACAGGTCAAAGAACCTGTGGGTGGGAAGCATGGTTTCTGTTGTGGACGTCATCCCCACTCACCAAATTGTTCCCTTTAAAGTACAGAATAGAGGGGCCACTGAATCTAACTCTCCATCTCTATTCTTCTGCTATTACATACATAAAAAGGTTAAAGCTAGAACAACCATTTTTTGGGGAGCGGAAAAAAATGGATGGGAGTAAACCAATAGGATTATATTTTTATTATAGTGCAGAGATGCAGAGTATGTACCATAGATAATAACATTACATCTGTCATAGAGGGATCGCAAGGTATGACTCGGAAAAGGAGGCCCACCAAACATAGTCTTCCACATTCCATCACTTCAGATGAATTCCATACACCTCATCCAGCCCAACCTCTCCTTTTTATAAAAACGTGAACTCCTGCAAATTGATAGCACTTACTAGCTGTACTAAATTTTTCATTTTGATGCCGTTTGTTCACTTATAACAAAATAGTTTCAAATGTAGGCAGAAACAGGATTATTTCATGCTTACATATTCCGGAAATGTTTACTGTATATATTTTCTCCTACTTTCCTCCCCCCCCCCTTCAAGTGTTGATTTCTCACATACTTTGATAAAGACCTTTCTGCTCTACGTGTAACCTAGTCCTTTTAGGAACGAACCGATAAGCTTTGCCCCTTGCTAGGGAGATACCAATACCAACACAGGATTGACCATGCTAGGACTCAGGCTTTCCATGTCACTTCTCTTTTCCTATATTCCATGTCAACAAATATTTGCTCTTCAGGAAATATTTTGATGGCCCCGCCCTTTCTTTCTTTCTTTGAAGAATATAGACCACCAAAGCTGCTGTGTTTCACCGAAAATAAGCCCTACCCCGAAAATAAGACTTAGCTTGATTTTGGGGGTGGGCCTAATTATAAGCACTACCCCCAAAATAAGCCCTAGTTTTGGGGTGAGGTGCACACCTAAAAATCAAACTGGGGCTGGGGTGGAGCTGCCCTACGTGCCCCACACCTGCTTACCACTGAGGCCAGGCCTACCATGCCCTGACACCTGCTTTGCCGGCCCACTTCTTCTGCGGCTGCTTTCACACGTCATCCCTGGCCTCCATTTCGCTATCAGAGGCCTTCAGGAAAGGCCTCTACAGCAGAGAACCAGGGTCTGGATTGACGCACGTGGCAACCCCTGGAGGTTGGGGGGGGTGCTGTGCGGGTCAGTCCGGAGGTCCATTCTCAGCTGCAGTCTTTCCGGAAGGCCTCTGATGACAAAACAGAGGCCAGGGGTGACACGCACAAGCGACAGCAAGTGGCTGAAGTGGGCTGGCTGGTCGAGGCTTTCAGTATCACTGCTGCGAGGTGAGACGGGGGAAAAGACATCCCCCAAAATAAGATAATTCCATGAATGGGTGCAAACAACAAACTGATAAATAAATTTGGATTTAATGGACACTCCCAAGTGGATCATAAAACCAGTTTATTGTGCTTGGTAATCAGGTGATGAATAAATAAAGCTGGAGTTCTCCCACTTTAAGTGGGCCACTTGAACAGAATGAAGATTTGAGAATTATGTGTAGTGGTACCTGTATGCCAGATAGCTGTACACAAAGAGTATATAATTTTTGTTTGAATTTCTTGTTTTTGTATCTCAGGTTATTTCTGAATCTGAATAGAAAACCAATTTTAACACTCTTCCTTCATACCATCTTCATATCTTTCTGCACCTTCATATCTTATCCTTTTTGTTCTTTACCTCCTTCTGGAAATATTTAACACAACTGGGCTTTCTGACACAGGACATACTGAAATCATCTTACACAATACCAGGATGAAGCATATTTGAGTTTCAATATAATTTCAATTTTCACATATATTTTGGGGAATAGGAAGTGGACCTTTTTTAAACAGGAAAAAAGTATTTAAACAAGCAAAATGAAACTGGACTGCATCCAGAATGTGGGTTAGCACTAGGCCAAGAGTAAATCTGACAGGATACTAGTTGTTTAAATTATTTTTGTGTATCTTTTTTTAAGTTGAGAAATACTTTAACATTCAATAAACAAATAGGACAACAGTAAATAAATATGATTTGAGGGTGCAAGTTTAACCAAACAATAAGAGTAAAGTGGGAGGGGAAGTTGCAATTAGTTTGATTTTTTTAGATAGAATTGGGAATATGTGGCAAGACTGTCCTGCAAGAGAAACAAACTCCATTTGCAGGACCCTGATTCCATGCATTGCCCTTAGATTTGAAAGCTGGTTTGTTGTTACAGTAATTGGACCTAACTATAACAAAGTTCTCCGAATACCTACAGTTTGTCATACAAGGAAACCGACCACTTTGGAAAAATAGATGTTGCATTTACCCTCTAATTAAACATATTGGATTTGGCCATAAGTGGAGTTTATGGCTTTTCTAAGAAATAAGAATCAAATGGAAATGGCTAACAGCTATAGTGCCCTTCCTGTGTTTATGGCCTATATTTTGGCCTTGTTCTCTGTTCACAGGGCTGACTTTGCTATTGCTATGGAGATGTAATAATTGAAGTACTCAGGTGTTATGATGGACTGGTTGTAAAAAACAGAGTTTCCTAGCACAACACACGCTAGAGAAAATGTTTATTGAAATATCTGAAAGTAAAAAAAAAAAAGCCAAAGAAGAAAAGTTAACATAGCTTGTGACAGGTTCTCTTATATAAAACAAAACAAAGCATTCAGTTACATGTTGCCAGCAGCTCAGTTTGGCCTCCCAGTACAGTATACTGACTTTCAACAATGTGGTCCCCTCCAGAGTAATGGATTTCAATTCTTAGAATTCCCCAAACTACAGAGAGGAAAGGATTGAGAAGGTCTGCCTTCCTTAAATAAGCAGCCTTAAAAGGGCACGTTGATTTTGCACTGGCTTTTTATAAGAGATTTTTTTCTATCATAATTTCTCTTTCCCTCCCACCCTTCCTCAAGCATCTTAAAAAATTAAGACTGAGGCATATCCATATTCTAATTTTGCCAATTTATATCATATGGGACACATAACCAGGATGAAATTTCTTAGATCTAACACAAATTCTTGTGAAGATAAAACTTCAGTTTGTTGAACTTGGCTCCAATTGGCATGAAGCCTTCATTCTATCTGCCTTTCATCTCATTTTAGAAATGAACATTTCATTTCTCCGCTTTCCTGCAAACATTAGTGCTGTACTGAAAGAGAATTTTTCTATTCCTTTAATCTCAACATAGGCACTTTTATGGCTTGATTTTATGGCAGATGGTACCGCACATGGGATACTTCATTAGCCAATTTATCAGCCAGTTTTTGAATCTGGAAGGCATCTGTGTCTCTTTTGCTAACCTCTCAGCTCTTTGTAGACAGATTAAAGAAACAGATCCTGTCATTATTGAAAAAGGACTTAGGCACATTTACACAAACAGCAGTTCACACAATACGACTGATCAGAGACTGCATCATTTCAGACAACATGCATGTGCGTGCTCTGCTAGACAAAGGGGGGGGGATCTATATACAGGGGGGGAGGGAAATCCAATATACCAAGCAGAAGCTCTCTATCACTTGATTTTCAATACATGAATTGCACTTCTGTTCATTTGTCAGCTGCAGCTTGAAGTAATTAGAGTGGATAGCTTGTTTTCCAATGGGATCTTCAATTTCTCTAGACTAGATATAATCAATCTGATGTCTTCCAGATGTTTTGGACTGCGAATTCCCATCAGACCCAGTACAAAAACAAAGAATCTTGGGAGTAGAAATTCAAAACAGCTGGAAGACACTTGTTACCTATCTTTGTTGTTGACTAAGCATTACAAACTCCTTGTTTTGGAAATGTTGTGTACACTTACACTACTCAAGTCAACCTAATTGGCTCAATTTTCTCTTTTTAGAATGAGAATTAGATTCTACGAATCAGACTTCAAACTTGTGAACACTTTTACTTGTCTAGTTCTTACTGCTAATCTCCCAGGAGCAAAAGCAACATACTTGCCAATTTTTTTAAAATGAAAAGTACAAATAAAAAATCTAGCAGTCTCCAACATTACTTGATTTAGAGAAGTATACATTCAATCTATTTCATTTGCTCAAAAAGCATTTTGCTCCTAATAAAAACTTCTAAAAGAGCAGATATCTTGCTAAATATCCCCTGTCTCCATTTCAAACTATATCTGTTTTTCATCCGAATAGGTAGGTTTTGCCAAAAACTGGAGAAAAACTTCCTTCATTTTTTTTCGGCCTATTAAAATTTATATTGAGCCAGGACATCCAATCATCATCTACACTAGTGTTTCCCAATCTCAGCAACTTTAAGATGTGTAGACCTCAAGCATGCTGGCTGGGGAATTCAGGGAGTTGAAGTCTACACATCTTAAAAGTTGCTATTTAAAAAGTGTCCTTTGCTCAAAGCTAACTTTTTATCCTACTAATGAATGCCCTTGATCCATTTTGGTTGCTAGAGGACAGAGTAACTAACCTTCAAAAGAGAACTCTGGCTGCTTACATATCACCAACTGAACACTGAACAATATTCAAATACGATATAGGAAAAACAAGACAGAGACTATTTAGTTGTACATTTATACACATTTCTCATGGACACCCAATAAAAGGCTGTGAGTTACATATATCCATTCTGTACTCTGGTAATCCCAATGCACATGCACACATAATATATGTATGTAGATAAAATGTACATGCACAACTGATGCGTAGGATTTGTACATGTAGTGTAGTCTATTATACTGGACCATGTAACCCCAAAGCCTTTGAAAATTGGTAGAATCGCTTTTGCTTCTCGTGCATGCAAACTTGACATTCAGGGCAGTGTTGCTTTAAGGCTATTTCTAAGGCTAAAAGATGTCTTCCTTATTTCCTGCAAGCATAATCAGCAAGACTCTTGAGACATAGTTTCCTAAGGATGCCAGAAACAAAATGTTTTTGATTTGGGACAGATATTTAAAGAGCTCCTATGGAGGAACTGAATCTGTTTGCTGCTCTACACCAGAAAGTGAGAAGGAGAAGAGGCGGTGTTGGTGGGACTGAGAGAGAAATAAATGTCTAATCAGCAGATTAATTTTTCTGATCTGTCTTGTATACCCTGAGATTCTAATTTACACAGATTGTTATATTTGCTTCGCCTGCCTGAAAGGAAAATTAGTTTTTTAATTTACCTTAAAAAAGAGACAAAAATATAGTCAAGGGAGCAGTTAAGTTTTTTTCCTCCTGCTCTTTCAATAGGAAAAGACTGGTATTTTTAACTTTAGAATTGTCTTCCTTTTATGTAAATGTGGGTTGATTCGGCTCACATCCAGCTCATTTGTTCCAACTACTATTTTAAAGGACACTGAATCTACGGTACCGGAGCTGATGTGGTACAGCAGAAGAAACTAAGATTAAAATGATTTCTTCAAGAACAATATGAAAACATATAGCCATTCTATGGCACAGGTGACACTGCTATGAATATTCCCTGATTTGGGACCTTCCAGATGTATTGGACAACAATACCAATTGTCCCAGGTGATTTTTAAACATCTGGAGTTAACAGGACTGGGGAAAGAACAAAACAATTTCCAGTTTTGCACTAAAGATGGATTAGTGGAGAAGAATGGTCAGAAATCATAAGCAAATCAAAGAGAAGATCATTTTGTGAGCTCTCAGCTGGATAGATATGAAAGAGGTATCTGTCTGGAAACGTGATGGATGAGGCTATGAATTCTGGAAAACTGCCCAGCTTATAGTTTTCTTGTTCTATTTCTGGTGTGTGAAGATGAGAGAACATAGGGATCTGCAGGGGATGGGACAAACGATGAAATGCATGTCATGATGCAAAAACCCTGTGTTTTGGGTACTTGTGTCTGATGCCAGAACACAAGTATGAAAGGCTTAAGTTTGCACTGTGATTATGCAATTAAAAAAACATTTCTTTGTCATCACAATTTATATAGGTTGCCTATTCAAAGTTTTATTTGTGGCGTTCATGTTCCTATATATCTTAAGGGATATTATCTAGCTTTATTAAACTCTTTTCAATGACACAGAATACCGGTAGTTGCTTCTTTAAAAACTTACAAATAACATTTAATGAACAGGCTTCCAGAAATTATTTAACTGGTTTCCCTCAATAATTATTTTTGGCATTAGAATACTACACATTTATCAAGCAAACGTTAGGCAATATTTGTAGCGGAAGTAATTATGTAAGCAATGTGGGTGTTAAGATATTGAAAGAGTGTATATGCCCTTATTAGACCTACCTCTAAAAAAGAGAGTTATATCAAAATTAAGAGACCAGGTTGGGGGCTAAATCTTTCTTTCTGTAAATTAGTATCTGGTGAAGACTTGTCTGTGATTTGAATCCTTTGTCTCCAGGAAACATAATGGACATCAAGGTAATAGATTTATGCAAATTGGTTAAAAGTCTTTTTAATGAAAATGGGGTTATTATTATAAAAAATACTGACAAATGTGCATGTTTAGTAACAAAATAGCAAAACAGTTTCATTTTGCTCAGGGACTCTTGAATACTTATGCTCACACATTTAGTCCAAGAATCCAAGAGTTCTTACAATCAAGACAAAAAAGTTGGAACAGGAAGTTTTTACTTTATCTCCACCAGAGGACAAAATAAAGCAAAAAACTTTCCACGTTCCTCATAAGGATAAACCCCTTGAAGAATAAATTCTTAAACTCCATCTTGATCAAATGGGAACAATGGCTGAGAAGAGGGAGAGAAAGGCTATTTTTGATAAAGGCCGGGAACCATCCGCATGATAGCTTTTTTTAAACCCATAAACTGGTGTGTAACTAATTTTGCCACAAATATACAGAAAACTCCCCCTTCCCCCATCCCTTAAAATGAACAAGAAGACTTCCAAGTAAGAATGATATGCTCTGTAAGATAATATCTGAAAAGTTATATACATAATTTTCTTTGTTTTTGTTACAAGTATCTCCTGATCAGGCAGTGGCACTTCCGGTCTCATTGGCACCACCTCTTTGCACTCTTCTTCCTCTTCTCAATAGACTGAACTGTTCCTAATGCCACAGCACAGCACCATGCTCAGGATCATTTCAAAGATCTGCAGGCCGAGAAAAAAAAAGATGAGGGCAATGAGACTCCAGCCACGTTAGACCTGCAGGCAATCCCTCACTTTATTCTCTTTCAAGCAGCCACGGCCTAATGTATAAATAAGCTCTAGGTAGCAAAACTGAAATGGGCTTTAACACAAATGTAATTTATTGGTGACTAATAAAAATATTTAAAATCATATAAGCCAAACATTAATTCTAATCGTATCTTTATCTAATTATTTTTAAATACCAAACAATAAAAGACTAAACGTGAACTTTAAATGGGATTTTGCTAATGCTGGAAATGTTACAGAATTTCTAAATTGCCTTGCATTGCAAATACATTTCAACAGCAAACATAATAGCATTGGAAATTAAATGCTGCCACGCCTAATTTTAACTGGATCAAATCAAAACTGACAATCCTCAACTTAAGTCCATTCGTTCAGCATCCAAAGTTATGGCAGCACTGAAAGAAATTGACATATGACCAATCCTTGAAGTTCTGATCAGAAAGCATCCTCTCTGTAGTCATGCTTTTCACTGGCAACATCAATGGAGAAGTCAAGCAGGGAAGATCACGAGTTGCTCCAGGACATCACTATGGCATTCCTGAACTCATTTGGTGCCACAGCACCCCCCTGCCTTGGTTTCCCCCATAGGTTGTGCATAGGTTGTGCTGGGCTTCTCTGCCCCCCCCCAGCAGCATTCTTGTATTCCTTACCTGGGACTCTTGCTGCTTCCTACCCTCTGACCTGTGCATCTTGGGATTATGACAGGTGGGACTGCTGGGATTGTTGTTATAAAGTATGTGGTTGTGTGACGTTGCCTTTATTTATGTCACTTAGCACCAGCAATCCCAGTCTCACTTGCTGTCACAAACTCAAGACTACTGTAAAGGAAGTCACCTCTGAAAGGAAGCCAATATGGTAACAAAATCCATCATCTTCATTGAAAAGACAGAAAGGGATATTTAATGAGCCCTGATTCAAGAATGATGAGTCCCAGTTGTTTGTGGGAGTCACCTTCCCCAACTTTTGTCCCTTCCAGATGCATTCTCAGCATGAACTGTCCCGTTTGGGAAATTCTGGAGGTGATCTCCAAATACTGAAGTCCATCCAGCCTGGGGAAGGCTGAGCTAAAAGTTTCCCTTTTTTCCCCAATCTTGCTGTCTGGAGGCCCAAGAAGGTGGCTTTTGCATGGTCAGCCTGCAGCTTTCTCTGCTAGAGAAGGAACAAATTAAGGAATATTGACCAGTGGCAGGGTCTCCTTTCTCTTTGGGATAATGCACATTAGCTTCCCCAGGTACAAAAGATTCCTTGATGGGTGTAGGAAATTATCTTCCCAGCCATCATAATAGAAGAGGGGAGTAGCATGTTTGTTATTTCTCTTTAGCAAGACTGAATATTATTCAGTGAAGACAGAAATATCTCTTTTGAGTGTCTTTGCTTTCCAAGTTTATTCTTGGCAACAAGTTCATCAGTTTCTTTGCCTTCTTTCATCTTGGTAATAAACTCCCTTCCCCCATCTAAAACCACAAACTGGATGAACAAGATAATGCATGCTTGGAAGGTCAAGCTTTCTCAATTTTTTTAAACTCCCAATGTCCAGCTACACACAATTCCTGAATGTGTGGCAATGTATTTTGCTCTTTGGGAACATTCTACTGTACACAATACAGACAGTACTTACCATGATTACTGCCACTACTATGGCAGCAATGCCAATCAAGTACAGCTTTCCAGAGAACAGCTCATCAATTTTAGCATGACAAGTGCTTACCTGAAATAAAAGAGTACAGATTTATTTATTAAATTTTAAGTATTGCTGTGGGCAATTCACAATATAAAACATGCAACAATAAGAAAATACAATACAAGTAAACAAAACCAATACATTTCTGAAAAATAAAACTATATAGACAGAAACACAACTAGCAAGGAGACAGTACCCATCTTGCCCCAACATCTTGGAGAGCAACCAGGTTTTCAAAGACATCATGAATATTTTAAGAGTTACATGAATCTCAGGGATGATTTCCAGAGAGCAGGCTCTGCAATAGAGAAGACACACAACCTGGCTCGATAGAGGGCACAGTTTAATCAAAAGGAATTGGAGTGTGCCAACTCTGCTAGTTTTTGTCTGATGGGCAGAAACTATGGGAGATACACAGTTCCTCAGCTATCTTGGCTCTGATGTCATCTAGAGCTTTACACATGCATCTTGAACATGGAATCACCCCAGTATAGCTCACAAGGCAATGATAGCACATGAGCACAATGAGGTATGCCCATGACTGCCTATGCCACTGCATTCTGGATCAGTTGGAGCATGAAGAGAGTCTTCAAGGTCAGCACCATGTAGTGCACACTGCATCAATCAAACTGCAAAATGACCAGGGGATGAGTGATCATCTGAATCTCTTGATCAAGAAGGAGCATGTGGCCCTCAAGCTGAGCAAATTCTTCTTGGCCACTTATACTTTAACCAGGAGATATGAGTCCAAGGTGATCTCCAGTGATCTCCAGATTGTGCATTAATTTTGAACAGGGATACCTAATCCAAGATTGAAACTGGAAAATCCCCAGATCTCGGGTAACATTAATATCCACAGCTACTCAGTCTTGGTAGGATTAAGTAGGAACTGGTTTAGTTTCCAGATGCTGGGACAAGACTTTAACTTTATCGCTTGTCTAACCTGGAGCCAAGAGATAAGGGGCGTTGTCTTACCTGAACGCCTTTTCTCAGCAGGATGATGTAGAGTCCAAATGGATGGGTTCTATGACGGCCTTCCTGCCTGGCAGACTGGGTAAAAACTTCGGCCACACCCCTTCCTTTGGGCGTGACCCCAGTTTTGACTTAGGCGAGAAACTTTGTTGGAATTAACCTTGCAGCTCTTTATTATATCTTTATTATATCCCTGCCTAGACCTATCCTCTGGGTGGGCTTGGACTCTACATCATCCTGCTGAGAAAAGGCGTTCAGGTAAGACAACGCCCCTTCTCCAGCAGGATGACTGTAGAGTCCAAATGGATGGGACATACCAAAGCCCTCATGTCCCCCTGGGAGGGAATGTCTAGGCTACCGAACTCTGAGCAGATACGACCTGTTGAAGAACTCTTCTGCCAAAAGCCGCGTCTGCTGCTGCTAGGGAGTCTAAACGGTAATGTCGAATGAAAACCGAAGGTGAGGACCAGGTTGCGGCCCTGCAAATCTCCTCCACCGGAGCTTGCGTTAGCCACGCCGCAGATGTGGCTGCGCTCCGAGTTGAGTGGGCAGTCACCTGATTGGGTGCTGGCAAATCCTGTGAGACGTAGGCCTGCGCTATGCAGGCTCTGATCCACCTGCCTATGGTGGAAGAAGATACCTTCTTTCCCATAGTTGATGGTTGAAAGGACACAAATAATGCTTCAGTCTTTCGGAAAGCCGAGGTGCGTTTCACGTAGAAACACAGTGCTCTCCGTACGTCTAGCTTGTGCCATCTGTGTTCTAGCTTATGTTTGGGTCTTGGACAGAAATCAGGAAGCGTAAGTTCCTGAGATCTGTGAAAGGTGCTATTTACCTTCGGGATGAAGGTCGGGTCTGGTCTAAGAACGACCCTGTCTTTGAAAAAGGTACACAGATCCTTCCTTACTGACAGTGCTGCTAGTTCTGAAATTCTCCTTGCCGAAGTAATTGCCACAAGGAAAGCTACCTTCAGTGATAGGTGATGGAGTGAGCATGTTTCAAGAGGTTCGAAGGGTGCAGATGTCAAGGCTAGAAGGACCCTAGGCAGGTTCCAGGACGGGTACCTGTGTATGACTGGGGGCTTTGTGTTAGACGCCCCTTTTAAAAAGGCATTAATCGCTGGATGTTGTGCTAGGGAAGTTAAGTTGTCGCAGGAGAGTACGGTTGAGAGGGCCGATATCTGTCTGCGGATGGTATTGACTGATAGGCCCCTATTAAGACCCTCCAATAGGTAGTCTAGGATATTGGGGATAGATACTGCGGTCGGGTCTAGGTGAAGCGAAGCGCACCACCTACAGAATCCCTTCCATGTAGCGTCGTAAATCCTATTGGTGGACGCCCTTCGTGATGCCTGTATGATCGATATCACCCCTGCAGAATAAGATTGTTTAGTTAAGCTTTGCCGCTCAAATGCCAAGCGGCTAGTTGTAGCCACTGGGGATCTGGGTGTACAAGCTTGCCCTGACTGAGTTTTACCCTGTCCGGGGGAATCCTCCACGGAGGTGATATCGAAAGGTCCACGAGGTCGGCAAACCACGGGCGCCGTGGCCAGTGAGGGGCAATGCAGACCATTTCTGCGCCCTCCAGGATCATCTTGCGTATGGTTGCCGGTATTAGTGGCAGCGGTGGGAAGGCGTACAGGAGTTGCGCCGGCCACCGGCACCTGAGAGCATCCGTTCCCTCCGATCCCGGGGACGGGAATCTGGAGAAGAACCTGGGGAGTTGTGTGTTCTTGTGGTTGGCAAATAGATCTAGGTGCGGTTGTCCGAACCTCCGGGAGATCTCCTCGAAGAGAGCCGGGTCCAGACGCCATTCCGACTGGTCCACCTTGGCTCTGCTCAGGGAGTCGCCTGGGTGTTTGTTTCCCCTGAGATGTGTTCCGCTCTGATGGAACTCACATTGGCTTCTGCCCACCGAGCCAGAACCAATGCTTCTTTCATTAGTTCCACTGATCTCGTTCCTCCCTCCTTGTTTACATGTGCCTTGGCTGCTACATTGTCTGTAAGCACGAGGACGTGTCTCCTCGTTACTAGGTGTGAGAAATGACGGAGGGCCAGGTGTATGGCCCGGAGCTCTAGCCAGTTGATGCTGTGTGACAGGTCCTTTTGACCCCACTGGCCCTGTGCTATCTGGGTCCCCAGATGGGCTCCCCATCCGAACAGGCTCGCATCTGTCGTGAGCGTGACCCTGTTCGGTTCCCTGAATATGCTCCCCTTGAGTGTCATGGGGGATAGCCACCATTTTAGTGATTTCATCACCTGTGCTGGTACCAGCACACTCCTGTTGGAGGTGCTGAGGTTCCTCCTCTGGTAGGGTAGGAGGAACCACTGCAACTCCCTCGAGTGGAGCCTTGCCCATGGGATGATGCCCATGCAAGATATCATCTTTCCCAGGAGCTTCGAGAGTTGTAGCAAGGGCACTCTCCTGATCTCTTGAATTTGGTGGATTAGCTTGGATATGTTGATCAGTCGCTCCTGGGAAAGGAATACCCTGCACTGTGACGTGTCTATCACCGCGCCCAGGTGTTGCAGTCTCCTTGAGGGAATGAGGTGGCTCTTGTTTAGATTGACCGAGAATCCGTGCCCCTGTAGGGTTCGGATTGTGGTCTTGAGGTCTGTCCTTGCTTGTTCCCGAGATCTGGACTGAATCAAGATGTCGTCCAGATAAAACTGGACGCGAACCGGAATCAACCTGAGATGGGCCGCTAGTACAGCTAAGATCTTTGTGAATACCCTTGGTGCTGACGACAGTCCGAAGGGTAATGCCCTGTATTGGTAATGTCGCCCCGCGTAGGTAAATCTGAGGAATTTCCGGTAGCTGGGGTGGATGGGGATGTGTAGGTACGCCTCTGTGAGATCTATTGAGGATAGTAGATCGTCTTCCCTGACGCTGGCTAGTATGGACTTTAAGGAGTGCATCTTGAACCTCCTGTACTTTATGAAATAGTTCAGGCCCTTCAGGTCCAAGATTGCTCTCCACCCTCCTGATGTCTTTGGGATAACGAAGAGGATAGAATAAAATCCTCTTCCTTCCTCTTCCTTTGGTACCTTCTCTATTGCTTGAATTGACAGGAGGTGATCTATGGCCGAAGTTATCAGCCTTGTCTTGTGTGCTCTTCTGGAGATGGGACATCTGATGAACCGGTTTGGAGGGGGAGAACAGAAGTCTAAGGTCAGGCCATGCCTGATCGTTTCCAGGACCCAGGCGTCGGTAGTGGTCTGTTCCCAGACCTCGGTGAAATTTCCTAACCGACCCCCGATGGGTGTATCCTGTTTGGCGTCACTTGGTACGCTTAAAGGATCTGCCTCCCGCTCCTCTATATGGGCGTCTGGACTGGAACTGGCCCCTGGCTCCCGGGCTTTGGCGATCCTGGGTTCGATCCTGTCTCGGGTAGAAGGATCGTGAGCCTCTGGGCCAGTCCCAGGATTGCCCTGATCGAAAGGGCTGCCTCCATTCCCAGGGGCTTCCTGGGCGGGAGCCCTGCCTCCGGAAGTCCTGACTGCCTCTCCTGTCTAACTTCTTTGATGGATGTACTAGGATTTTTTTCTTGTCTCTGCCTTCGCTGACATGTGGATCCAGAATGGAACCAAATAGGGCCTCTCCACTGTATTTGGACGTCGAGAGACGCCATTTGGACCTCAGGTCTGTCTTCCAGTTTTTGAGCCACAGTAGCCTACGCGAGGCCACTGTGGCCGCAATGGATCTTGCCGCATACTTTGTTGCGTACAGTGAAGCGTCAGACATGAACTGAGAGGCCGCGAGGAGTTTGGCCAATGTCTGGTGTACTCTGACCTGGTCTGGAGGCACCGTGCCCTGCAGTTCCCTCAGCCACATGATGCAGGCCCTCGCGAAGAATGATGATGAGGTGGCTGCTCTGGCCGCCCAGGCTGCAGCCATGTGGGAACGCCGGAAGGAGTGTTCAAATTTCTTCTCCTCAGGTTTCAAGACCTCCGCCATGTCTCCTGGAATCGCGGAGGTAGAGAATAATGAGATCAAGGGGTTATCTACAGTGGGAACCTCTAACATGTTAGAGAAGGAGGGAGATAGGTTGAAAAGCTTTCTTTCCGCGCTGTTAGGTGCCGGTGGGCTTGCAAGTGAGGACCATTGTTCCTCCAGCGTGGTCATGAAGACCTCCGCACATGGAATGTACTTGTCCTGTGGGACCTTTTTGGCAAACAGAGGGTTGGCCTCCTTGCTAGTCGATGGCCTCTCATCCTGTACTGATGTTAGGCTGACTGTGGAAACTGCCTTAATCAGGAGTGATTTTAGGAGCGCTGGGTTAAAGAGGCCAGAGCTCGTCTCCTGCTCAGGTGCGGTTTCCTCGTCCTCCGATAGGGGCATGTCTGACATGTCAAGATCTACTGAGTCACCCTCTCCTAGTTGAGAGGAAGATTCAGAGATGTTGGTAGGGGGTGGCCTAGCTCGTCCCTTACGGGGTGTGTGAAAGGCCACTTGCCCTTTGGAGGCCATGAATTGGGAGAATGCATCCTGCATGAATGCCTGAAATCGTGCCGACCATATGTTCTCCTGCGCTTTGTCGCTGGGGTGAGGCGCTGGAGTGTGGTCGGGTGAGGGAGAAGAAGCTGGTGAGGAGGGATTGGAGGAATCTAACTGTTCAGTTTCCCCAGGAGGAGACCAAGTCTTGAGCACTTCCTCGGCAGTAGGTTCTGTGCTGGTCGCCACTGGGACAGGGGAAACCAAATTTGTCCCATTGGCATTGGATCTCTGTGCCCTGCTAATTTGTCTTTCTAAAGCCAAATGTCTCCTCAGAGCCTCTCGCTCAGCCGTTTTAGACTGTCCCTTCTGAGTAAGGTGCTTTGTTTTAGCTTTCTTCTTCCCCCCCACCTCTGATTCAGAGGATCTGCGTTTTCGCTGCTGTTGTGGGGGGGACAATTGAGGGACCTGTGTGACTGAATACGAGACATTGTCTGCCATTGTGCCAGACACCCCGAGTAGGAAATGCCTGGGATGGGGGAATGAGGTACGCAGATCAGAGGCAGATGCTTGGGACTGTGCCCTCCTCTGCCTATACAAACAATGGCCGGACAGACAGGATTCTTTGGACCGAAGATCCTGCAAGGCAGTGACTAAAGGCCACTATGGGAACAGTTAGGGAAGAATGTTCCTCCTCACCTCCTCACCTAGTCCAGACAAGGTGCAGTTCATATGTCTCTCTCTCTCCCCCAGTCTGTGGCTGTGGCAACAGACCACGATAGGAAACGGTTATTTTACTTTCCCTCTTCCTTCCTCTGTCTCAGTTTCCTTGGGTAACCTCAGATCCTTGCAAGGGAAAAAGCCCTTTGTTTGCCGGAAAATGGAGTCCGGGTGAAGGCCCCGCCCCCAAGGGGAAACGGCGGGAAGATCAAGTTCCAAAATGGTGAATGGGGAAGAAGCCACGCCTCCCAATGGAAGCCCGGGAATCCACGAGGTTCAAGAGTAATGGCGGATCCTGATTTTTGCAATCAGGAAGACTCCTCTAGTCATGAGGGGCTGCGCCTTTCCTCTGGGTATAGGGGAATTCAGCGCCGGCTTTGCTCTTGCCGCGCTGTTAATCGCGCCGCTCAGCTGATCGCAGCCGAGCGGCGACCTGGTTTGCCGCTTCCCGCGCGGCTCAGCTTTTTCGCGCCGTGGCGCTCAGCTCCCTCGGCCAGGCTGCTCAGCTGTTGGGAGGGCCCGGAGGGCTACGCGCAACCCGGTGAAAACCCCCCCCCGCGCCGAACAGCTGCTCGGCGGGCCGGAAGAAAGCGAGCGATCCGGCCCGTTCCGAGCCTCCCCGGCTAGCCCCACTCACGAGTCCGCCGATCCTGTTCTAATCGCTGCCGGGAAGTTTCTCTTGTCAAGGGAAGAAGAGGGGATTCCTTTTTTTTTTTTTTTTTTGAGTTTAAATTCGTTTGTTTCTGAGAGCTGCCTCTCGCACTTGTACCAGGCTTCGAGACTGAGTCAAAACTGGGGTCACGCCCAAAGGAAGGGGTGTGGCCGAAGTTTTTACCCAGTCTGCCAGGCAGGAAGGCCGTCATAGAACCCATCCATTTGGACTCTACAGTCATCCTGCTGGAGAAAAACGGCTATCATCAGCATATTCAGTGGTTCTCAACCTGTGGGTCGGGACCCCATTTGGGATCGAATGACCATTTCACGGGGGTCGCCAAACAACGCAGTCCGCCATTTTTCCCCCCTTTTCCTTAGCTGTGCTACTCCCTTTTATTCTATTGGCTTTTGAAAGACAATAGAATAGACTCTCTTGAATAGAGTCTAATTCTATTGGCTTTCAAAAGCCAATAGGAATTGTCCAGGCTGTCTCTGCCCTGCTGAGCCTGCAACAGTCCCATTCTGCAAACGGTGCTGCACCAGTTGAGTAGTCCTTGACTTACGATCGGTTGAGTACTCCTCGAATTACGACCAGTTGGGGGGCGCGGCATTAAAAAGGTTGAGAACCACTGAGCATATTGATATTGAACCTTGAATTGGCAGATGACCTCATTTAATGTTTTTATGCATTTCTTGGTCATCATAGCTGTTCTGAATTAACTCCATATTGAAGAGATGGGAGATAGAACTCTTCTTTTTATTCTCACCCATCCCAGAGTCACAAGAATAGGGTAGCAGTTCAAGCTGAGTACTAACAGCAATCCAGATTACAGAACAATTGGCCAAGAAAAAGAGAGAAAGAGAAATCCTAAACTCTTTTGAAAACTTGTATTATGGAAGCTTTTGTATCACCCTCCTCCTCCTAGCCTGCCTTTTTTGAATTCAAATCTAAGTGTATCCTTCTTTTGCCATGGGGCAAGCTAATTGAAAGGAATATGAAGAGACATTCCTTCCTCCCTTCTTCCCTCCCTCCCTCCCTCCTTCCCTTTCCTTCCTTCCTTCCTTCCTTCCTTCCTTCCTTCCTTCCTTCCTTCCTTCCTTCCTTCCTTCCTTCCTTCTCAACAGAACAATTCAAATCAATTACCTACTTTCGGACAAGAGGACATCTTGGAAGAAAATTAATTTTAAGCACATCATTAATAGAAGTGGAGTTTGTTTCAAAACTGTTTTAAAACAAACCTCTTAATCTAACTTGTGTATGCCTAAACTTAATCTTATAGACAACCATGAACACAGACTGTTTCTTTCCATCTTGGTATGTAAAAATTTATGAGCTTATTGTTCTCCCCCTCACCCCAATTCACTTTTGCAGCATGATAAATCACACCACCTAAAATAGCATGGAAAACTCCACATGAATGTGCTTTGCTCCATATTTGAAACAAAATTCATGAAAAAATATGCATATCTTGCACTGAATTGGAAACTCCTGAAATTTAAGTTTGAACTATTCTGCACATCCCTACTTTGTACCACTACAACTTTAACTCAGAACCTCACTGAACTCTGCCACTTTAGACTCACTTAAAATTCTAACTGTAGGAATGGAAGATGTTAAGGCAGGAGTCATCCTACAACTAGTGCTGCAAAGTAAACAAGATAACTAGAGAAATCACATAGAAGACGGCTTTTGGAATTTTTCTCAGTCCCTTTATTAGCAATAGCTACGAGAGGTGTCTGTATTTTCTTCTGTATAACCAAGTAAAATGCTGTATGTCTATACAGTATATGTGGCTTTCTGCATCTGAATGCAGATGTTCTGGCTCACATCATTTGGAAGGGGCAGGACTTAGAAAGGAAGAGTCATCATTCCAAGCAGCTCCCCAAATTCTTGCACCGTGGGATGTGCTGGGTGATTGGATCAGTTTTCAAACTCAATCTCAGTACCGTCAGCTTCACCCATCGTATAAATTTGGTCTTATTCAACTCATATGCCAGACAGCTATCCTACTGACAGGCAGCCAATTAGACAAGAATACTAAGCCCGTTTACATGATTTCTTTCCAGCATTTTGTTGCGTTGGAAAGAATAAAATGGTGTAGTGACACATTTGTTCCAATTTGCTGTATTGAAAAAAATGGATATATCTTTATCTTTTGATAGGTGTAGGAAGTTATCTTTAATACATACACACATACATACACATACACACATACACACAGAGATGATTTTCTTACTTTTGTTACTTCTCCTAGAGTGCATTCACTGGTGACCCAAGATAAAGCTAAGGAATCTCTGCCACAGCAATTTAGCTAGAAGGATGGGGATGGTGGAAGAGAGAAAGAAAAATTAATTCTAGATATTTTCTACAAATATTTCAAATTACATTTTCCCCCCAAAGATTCCAGTTTGCATCCTATGGTGCTTGATACCTGAACTCTCCTCCTATTACTCATCAGCTGCAGTGAATTTGTACAATATCATGCAAGGATAAAGGGGAGATTGTATATCGGAATCATTATAAAAGAAAGTTTTCAACCAGGAAGAAAACCAAATCACTTGATTCTCAAAATACTCAAAAGGCCAGAATCTCAAAAACAGGCAATCCTTTCAAACATGTACACTGTGGGTGCTCCCTGCAAACTTGTTTGGGTGGGGGGGTTGAATAAACATCTTTGGAACACTTGCTGCGTGTGGGGGGGGGGAGAAGGGCAGCATACCACCTAAGGACAACTCCTAGATAAGAACAGGTTGCCTATTACTAAAAATGGTAGATGGCATTGAGCTGATTAACTGCTGAAGCCATGCAATGCTTTCAGGAACCAATGAAGCCACATGTTTTTAATATACAGCCTGTTTTCAGTGGTTCCTAAAAGCACTGTGTGGCTTCAGTGGGTCATGGTTCAAGGAAGATGCAATCTGCCATTTTTAGGAATAGCCTAAGCACAAATTCTTTAGGACAGGAGTGTCAACAACCTGCCGGCCCATAGGCCAGACGCGTCACAACGAAACCATGCCCGCCCCATTGCCGGCAATGGGGAAAAAGTTCTGATACATCACACGACGTCACATGACGTCGCGAGTTTGACATGTCTGCTTTAGGAGAAGGGATGGCAGAACCTGGAGGTAGAGTGAAAAGGGGAATCTGCCTAGAATCCCTACAAGCTCACCACCCCCTCCTTGAGTGTTGTAGATTTTTATCTACCTCTAAGCAGGTGCCAACCGTTAGTTGAGAGGATTCCTGTGCATAGAGTTTTAGTGATAAATCTGTTTAATTGATCCTTCATGTGTGGTCTTTTGGGCTTGATAAGTTTGAGTTAAATACTAAGTTACAAACTGGATTAAATACTAAGTTACAAACAGGACTGCCTGTGTACATTTAGAGGGCTTATGTAAACTTCATTGTGGCTGGGAGATGTAATATATTTTGAAAATGCAGTTTGTCCTTAAATGAAACATGCAATAGGAAAAAATGCATAGATACAGAGGTAGCTATGCGGAATTAATCATACAAATTGTGTAGAATACTTTATAAATTGCTGAAAAGTATGTACAAAATCCAGTAATAACTATTCTTGTTCACTTGTTTTAAAAATTAACTTTCCATGGCAATGACCTAGAAAAAACTCCCCAAAGCCATCCAGTCCTACTGTGAATTGTTGAGCATTTTCTTCTTTGAATTTCATTGTACCACATATAAATTATACTCTTTCTTACATTTTGATTCCTTCTGGACATGTGACTCCAAGTATTGTCCATGTACGTCTCAAATCAAGTTAAATTGCCTCACCACCCTGTCATTAATAAGGAAGGCACTTTCTAAGTATGTGTCCTACCATTTTTTGATTACAACTACTGGCATTAAAAATTAGTTGTGTGTGAAGCCATCTTAAGTTCATCACACTTTATTTTAAATTACAGTAGCTGTAATTTAGGTTGTACTTTATAGCTGAATGCCATTTTGTGACTCTGTTTTTTTAAATAGCTATTTTAGTAAGTATTAATTTTTCTATTTTCTATTTTTTAAAGAAAGGGCAGGATATGTTATCACAGATGTATGTGATAGATTAGATTCTATAATAAATGTGAGGTACGTTAATCAAATAAATGACACTTTTACATACTATTGGGCTACTTTAATGGCAGCCTACCATCTTCAGTTAAATATTACTAAATCATAAATATATACATTTAAATATATAATATATAAACGTATTGTATAATACACAAATACATGTTTATTTATTTTGGATGTTTTTATTGTTTTAAAATGTTTTAGTGTCTTAATTTTAATATATTTTTGAATTGTAAGCCACCTACAGTTATTGACTAAGATAAGTGGCTATAGAAATTGAATGAATGAATGAATATAAAATTAAATTAAATATTCCTATAAAATATGTTGAACTGGCTTTGCAAATGGTAATAGCTGTAAAAAATTCTTTATGTTTCTCCCTGAAAATTATAATTGTTTCTTTCTAGAAGAATGACAAACTAATATATATGGAAACATGCTTCAAAATAAAAATTAAATTCATAACTGAAAAATAAATCTGAATTAGAAGTTAATGTGAAAATAATTTTTGAATTATAATCTTACAAACAGGTTTGTCCCACACCCAAAATTTAGGTTTTCTTTAAGATTATGATTTGATAAGTCTACTAAACTTTATAGATTAAGCAGTACTGTAATTATTATTTCTTTATCTTCATTTACAATTTGAGTTATGCTGATTTTAGTTGCTAACTATTGCATAATAGTTTACTATTGACTTGTAATACAAATATATAGTTTCAAATTGGTATAATTGTCTTTTTGTACTTTTTAAAGCTGATTTTATAATCTTTGTAAATCTTTTTTATTCTTTTCATGTTTCTTTGATTGCACTTGCAAAATCAATGAATAAATTTAAAAAGAACAAAAGAATGAATACCAGTGGGGTTTTTTTTTTTGCCTGCTATAGATCTTCTCACATTTTATGTTTAGACTGTCATTAAGCCACACATGCTAAGCCTTGCGAAGCAGGAGCGTTAAAATTTTTTTTTATTATGCATCAGTAATAACTGCATATTGGTTGAGAATAAATTAATGATTTAGTTGCATATAGAAGAATTCTATAGATTACAACCCTAATTTTATACAGTAGAAATATACAGTGTATAGCAGGGGTGTCAAACTGCCGGCCCACGGGCACGAGGAAACCACAATGAGCAAAAAGTTCCGATATGTCGCGTGATGTCATGTGACTTTGCGAGTTTGACATGTCTGGTGTATAGTCTTTATTACTGTTAACAAAACTGGAAGGGATGGTTTTTAAGAGAATCAACAGATTGACCCAGTAAGTAAAAAATGGAAAGAATCACAAATACAGAATAATGCTTAGATAAGGTAATCATGCCCCTTAAAACTAAGCCAATGATCAATAAGAATTCCATGTTAAATATGTCCTGTAGAAACATTGGTTTCCACTTGACTACACTCCTTAGAGATTTCTCCTGGGAAAACTACAAATACTGAGGCCATAAATAATGGGGGTTAGACCCTTTGTAGTAAGACCTTTTTTTATACAGAATACACAGCTGGGCCTCAATGTTAGCTTAGCAAACATTCACAGTTGTCATGGTGATGAAAAAATAACTTTGTGACCAATCCTCCTATGTACGACCTTCACAGGTCTGTAAAGCAAAGCAAAGCAAACCTAAAGGAAGATTATAACTACAGTCAGTCTCACTTGGCGCCATTTTGCTTAATGGTCCAGTTGCGGGTCTCAATTCTGACTGCTGAACAAGGACTACCTCTAATCTAAGTTACTTCAAGCAGGTATTTAACCAACTAATCTTCAGAAAACTGAAGATTAAATTTGATTCCCAACAAAGTATACTGTACAACTTACTGTTTCTTGGAAGGTTTTCACAACAGCGTTTGCCTTTTTTGCTTTGTTCTCATCCTTGTCTTTCGATTCAACCAATGCTTGATCATAAAACTGTTTGAGATCTTTGGCAATCTGCAAAAGAGAACAGGGAACAATAGATGCAATAGATGTGAGCTTTCATAGGTGCTTTTCCCCCCATTAGTTTATTCAGCTGCTTGATCTTGTTGTTTCCAATAATTGTAATAACTGGATAACCAAACAACAAAGCTCAGACACCTGAACTGAATTTGCAGATCCATAGTCACCATTTAGTTGAAGCTAGTTGACAATATGGAACTGTGTATCCACAATATAGTACAGTGAACTTATTGTGACTGTCTTCTTTCTATTCTGACTTGTTATTCTAAAACTGGGGAGGGGGGTATAACTCTGTCAATGGGGCAATATCAGAAATTTTTTTTTAACTCCGCTTCCAGTAGGAATAGCGAAGAAATACTTACTGTTAAACATCCTAACTCTTGTGTAAAACAGTCTACTAAGCTTTCAAGGATTATGGAAACTCTTAATAAGAAGCGTTTAGTAGTGATGAGAAAATCATGGTCTACCTCCTCTACTATACTGATGAGCAGGGGGACTCCATGCACAATAAAATAAGTTAGGGCAATGTTCAGTTGTACTATGTACTAGTAATATGTAAACTTTAACATAGGAAACATTACACAGTGCATGTGTCTTATGTGCTATTTCCTGGCGTCTGGATAACGTCACCAAGAGTGTTTTTTTACCAATACAGGTCAAGTCATGCATAGCTGCTGTTCTGCACCAGTGAGCAGGATAAAAATTCAAATGAAGCTCGGTTTGGACAAAACATGCCAAAGGAAGGTGGCCTGATGACTAGACTGGGCAGAGGGCAAATTGGGTCATATTTCCTTTAAAAGAAAAAAGGTAGTGTTTTTGAAATATCTTAGATTCCAATGGCTGTTGTTGTATGCAGCGGCTTCAGAGAAAGGCAACAGGTGAAGAAAAGGAAATTGTTCCTGTTATGTATGTGCTGAAGACCCTGCATGGGAATCCTTGAAGAATTTTCAATTGCTACACTATTCTGTAACATTATTTGTATTAAAAAAAAAAAACAGCCATCTGGAATGTATTATATTAGTACTGCTTTCTCTGCCTATTATCATTTCTAGACAAACTTTGGAGTGTCATTCTTCATCTTTAAACTATGAGAATGCTTTGACAAGAGATCAGTATGTAGTCCCTTTTCAAGGAGTGATTCTTTCAAGAAACAGAGAAGACTGACCAGCGCTATGAGTAAGAGTTGTTTTAGAGATTCTCCTACAACTAAGAAACTTCTTTTCACCACAAATACAACACGTAGACTTTGTTAGTCCTTTTGGACAGATCTTGAAAGCTTTTCAGGATATGATTATAGAATACAAATTATTCCCGAAGAACCACTTTAAAAAAAAAAATCTCTTAACTCTGCTATGAATTCAGTTTGAAACAAAAAAAAGCTATAGATACTATAAATATGTGTTTCCAGACTTCCACAACTTGGCGCCTTAATGTCTAGAAAGAATATTTATATACAATCTAATACATCCAGATAGCCTCAATAAAGAGTACACTAAGATGTGTAAAATGGTTTAACACTAGATCAAAACTGTATAAGAAAAGAGGATAAATAAAACATCAACAAAAAATAAAAAGGCACTATATACAGTGGGGCAAAAAAGTATTTAGTCAGCCACCATTTGTGCAAGTTCTCCCACTTAAAAAGATGAGAGAGGCCTGTAATTGTCATCATAGGTAGACCTCAACTATGAGAGACAAAATGAGAAAACAAATCCAGACAATCACATTGTCTGATCTGGAAAGAATTTATTTGCAAATTATGGTGGAAAATAAATATTTGGTCAATATCAAAAGTTCATCTCAATACTTTGTTATATATATCCTTTATTGGCAATGACAGAGGTCAAACGTTTTCTGTAAGTCTTCACAAGGTTGGCACACACTGTTGCTGGTATGTTGGCCCATTCCTCCATGCAGATCTCCTCTAGAGCAGTGATGTTTTGGGGCTGTCGCTGGGCAACACAGACTTTCAACTCACTCCAAAGGTTTTCTATGGGGTTGAGATCTGGAGACTGGCTAGGCTACTCCAGGACCTTGAAATGCTTCTTACGAAGCCACTCCTTCGTTGCCCGGCCGGTGTGTTTGGGATCATTGCCATGCTGAAAGACCCAGCCACATTTCATCTTCAATGCCCTTGCTGATGGAAGGAGGTTTGCACTCAAAAATCTCACGATACATGGCCCCATTCATTCTTTCCTGTACACGGATCAATCGTCCTGGTCCCTTTGCAGAGAAACAGCCCCAAAGCATGATGTTGCCACCCCCATGCTTCACAGTAGGTATGGTGTTCTTTGGATGCAACTCAGCATTCTCTCTCCTCCAAACACGACGAGTTGTGTTTCTACCAAAGAGTTCTACTTTGGTTTCATTTGACCATAGGACATTCTCCCAATCCTCTTCTGGATCATCCAAATGCTCTCTAGCAAACTTCAGACGGGCCCAGACACGTACTGGCTTAAGCAGGGGGGCATGTCTGGCACTGCATGATCTGAGTCCCTGGCGGCGTAGTGTGTTACTGATGGTTGCCTTTGTTACGTTGGTCCCAGCTCTCTGCAGGTCATTCACTAGGTCCCCCCGTGTGGTTCTGGGATTTTTGCTCACTGTTCTTGTGATCATGTTGACCCCACGGGGCGAGATCTTGCGTGGAGCCCCAGATCGAGGGAGATTATCAGTGGTCTTGTATGTCTTCCATTTTCTAATTATTGCTCCCACCGCTGATTTCTTCACACCAAGCTGCTTGCCTATTGCAGATTCAGTCTTCCCAGCCTGATGCAGGTCTACAATTTTGTTTCTAGTGTCCTTCGACAGCTCTTTGGTCTTCACCATAGTGGAGTTTGGAGTGTGACTGTTTGAGGTTGTGGACAAGTCTCTTTTATACTGATAACAAGTTTAAACAGGTGCCATTAATACAGGTAATGAATGGAGGACAGAGGAGCCTCTTAAAGAAGAAGTTACAGGTCTGTGAGAGCCAGAAATCTTGCTTGTTTGTAGGTGACCAAATACTTATTTTCCACCATAATTTGCAAATAAATTCTTTCCAAATCAGACAATGTGATTGTCTGGATTTGTTTTCTCATTTTGTCTCTCATAGTTGAGGTCTACCTATGATGACAATTACAGGCCTCTCTCATCTTTTTAAGTGGGAGAACTTGCACAATTGGTGGCTGACTAAATACTTTTTTGCCCCACTTGTATTTATCTGGAAGAAGATACAAACAGAAAAATCCTGCTCTCTCTTTGCATCTGTGAGATTGCTTTGATCTCCTTAATTTTATGTATCCAGGCTCAGATATACACGCAAAAGATTGAATTCCCCCTTGTGAGTTTAAAAAAGGAAGAGCAGTGGTAAATCAATCATCCTGAATGTTGCCACCTACAATTCCAAAGCAATCATTTTATCATTGTAGTTCATGGTAGTGCAATAGTGGACATAAGTAGTGGCACAGTGAGTGATTAAAGTACAGTTTGCCCTTACGACTGACTACAGAGACACTGCAACATGCCCTCTGCTATTTCCCCCTCCCCTCCCCCATCCTGCCCTGCTGGGTCTCCACAGTCACTCGGGCCTGCTTTGCTAGCTTCTGAGATTCCACTTGCTCCTCCCCATCCCAATTCCCATCACTTAGTTATTTTTCAAAGATCTCCAGAGTTCCAGAAGCATCCTCATGGCAGAAAAGCTGAACTCTTTTATTCGAATACTGGCAAAGCTATTTTCCTTAGATCGCACGTTCTTACAGCTTCACCAGCTTCTGAATAATAATAATAATAATAATAATAATAATAATAATAATAATAATAATAATAATAATAATAATAATAGTAGCGTGGAATGCTACAAGTACATCAGATGGTTGAAGAAGAAAAAATGGCTTTGGAAGAATATCTGAAGAACAATGATGAAGATGCACTGAAATTAGTATATCAGGAAGGCTTACTGACTACTGGAGAGACCAAACTGGCCTACAAGAAAGACCAAATGAAGAACAGAATAGAGGCATGGGAAGACAAAGCACTACATGGCCAATACATGAAAAAAATAGCTGGGAAAGCAGATAATAATAAAACCTGGCAATGGCTAAGAGCAGGAAAATTGAAGAAAGAGACCGAGGGACTAATTCTGGCTGCACAAGACCAAGCCTTAAGGACAAATGGATACAAAGTCAAAACTGAGAAGACAGCAAAAGACAGTAAGTGCCGCCTATGCAAAGAAGCTGAAGAAACAGTGGACCATTTGGTAAGCTGTTGCAAGAAGATTGCACAGACTGATTACAAGCAGCGGCATGACAAAGTAGCAACAATGGTGCATTGGAAGATCTGCAAAAAATATCATTTGCCTGTAAGCAAAAACTGGTGGGATCATAAAATAGAGAAAGTCATAGAAAATGATAAAATTAAACTGCTCTGGGACTTCAGAATTCAAACAGACAAGCACTTGCAACATAACACCCCAGACTTAACAATTGTCGATAAGAAAGACAAAAAAGTCTGGATAGTGGATGTGGCAGTGCCTGGAGACAGCAGAATAGAAGAGAAAGAACTGGAGAAGATAAAAATACAAAGACCTACAAATAGAATAGAAAGACTGTGGCAAAGCAAGGTAGTAGTATCAATATAGGCTAGGCTCCTTGGGTGCAATCCCAAAACAACTGGAGCACCACTTGAACACCATTGGCATTGACAAATTCGCTATTAGTCAATTGCAAAAGGCGGCCCCTATTAGGAACTGCTTCCATCCTGCGACGATATCTGTAATACCATCAAACATCCACATCTGCCTATCCCAGGTCCTGGGTAAGGACTCGATAGGTAGACAAAATGCCAAATCCAGTCTGAGCATCTGGCTGACTGTGCGATGATCCATAATAATAATAATAATAATAACAACAACAACAACATGCAGTGACATTGATAGACTTTATCTACCAAGGCAAATAGGTGGGCGTGGAATGCTACAAGTACATCAGATGGTTGAAGAAGAAAAAATGGCTTTGGAAGAATATCTGAAGAACAATGATGAAGATGCACTGAAATTAGTATATCAGGAAGGCTTACTGACTACTGGAGAGACCAAACTGGCCTACAAGAAAGACCAAATGAAGAACAGAATAGAGGCATGGGAAGACAAAGCACTACATGGCCAATACATGAAAAAAATAGCTGGGAAAGCAGATAATAATAAAACCTGGCAATGGCTAAGAGCAGGAAAATTGAAGAAAGAGACCGAGGGACTAATTCTGGCTGCACAAGACCAAGCCTTAAGGACAAATGCATACAAAGTCAAAATTGAGAAGACAGCAACAGACAGTAAGTGCCGCCTATGCAAAGAAGCTGAAGAAACAGTGGACCACTTGGTAAGCTGTTGCAAGAAGATTGCACAAACTGATTACAAGCAGCGGCATGACAAAGTAGCAACAATGGTGCATTGGAAGATCTGCAAAAAATATCATTTGCCTGTAAGCAAAAACTGGTGGGATCATAAAATAGAGAAAGTCATAGAAAATGATAAAATTAAACTGCTCTGGGACTTCAGAATTCAAACAGACAAGCACCTGCAACATAACACCCCAGACTTAACAATTGTCGATAAGAAAGACAAAAAAGTCTGGATAGTGGACGTGGCAGTGCCTGGAGACAGCAGAATAGAAGAGAAAGAACTGGAGAAGATAACAAAATACAAAGACCTACAAATAGAAATAGAAAGACTGTGGCAAAAGCAAGCAAGGGTAGTACCAATAGTCATAGGCTCCTTGGGTGCAATCCCAAAACAACTGGAGCACCACTTGAACACCATTGGCATTGACAAATTCGCTATTAGTCAATTGCAAAAGGCGGCCTTATTAGGAACTGCTTCCATCCTGCGACGATACCTGTAATACCATCAAACATCCACATCTGCCTATCCCAGGTCCTGGGTAAGGACTCGATAGGTAGACAAAATGCCAAATCCAATCTGAACATCTGGCTGACTGTGCGATGAATGATAATAATAATAAATTGGCTTTTCTGCCATGTGGGTCAGCATCTTCTGGAGCTCTTCCAAAAGTAAGTAAGCGATTGGAAGTAAGGTGGGGAGGAGCAAGTGGAATCCGGGCAACTAGCAAAGCAGGCCCAGTAGCTATGGAGATCCAGTGGAGCAGGATGGGGGGAAGCTACTATGGAGACCCTAAAGAATTGTATGAGATATCTCAGTGGGTTGGGGGTGGTCAAGGGTGGCCTGTTCCAGCACTAGGCCCCGCATGGTCTTTCCTACTCTGAGATACCTCATGTGCATTTAATGACCTGCACATTTGATTAGCGAATCAGGGAGGGATCACGTTCATTTAACGTGATCCAATTAAATGAATCCTCGGGTTACAAATATAATTGGCAGGCTCTATTACATTTGTAACTCGGGGATTACTTGTACTCCATTAAATGCAAATTATGGCAATAAGTTTTCTGCTGCAGCAGGTTGACCAGCACAAAAGTATTGAGAAGGATGATTTTTCATGGAACTGTTTATATTACACATCAGAAGAAGAAAGCAAGTAAAGAAGCAGCAGCGCAATTTTATCTTCTATAAATGTTTAGTCTGGCAGTCAATCAAACCAACCTACTACTGTAGGAGACTGGGAAGATGAAAATAAAGTGGCTCTGAACACCTGGAAAAGCTATGCCACAATAAACATTAAACATCTAGCCCTCAAGAAATTGTAAGGCTCTCAGATGCATCATAAACATGAAAGCTATGCGTAAATTCATAAAATAAATCATCATAATAAAATGTTTACCTGATCCTTATTAACAAATCCCCAGATGCCAGCAGCCACTTCGCAAGCAAATAAGATGATGAGACATGTAAAAAACTGAAAAGACATATATCAGATTAAGGAAGTCAAGATGCATTTTCAGCAAAGAGAAGGTCTTTGGTGCAACCATCTATTTTGTAGTTCCTAGGTAGAGTACAAGGACATCAATATTTCCAATTGTGTTAAAAACAATTATTTTGATGAGAGGGTTAATTTTTTTAAATATATATTGTAGGCCAAAGAAAACAAGTTAAAAGGGAGAAAATTGGATTGAAGACATGGATTGTGAAAAGGAACAGAAGAGCCTGTAGGATGAAGGTGGATATTAGGTATGTTGTGATCTAGAAGCCCCTTTACTGTAATATGTCATTAAATATGAAAATAATTATTTCCAGGCCCTGGTACATAGTGACAGAATACATGGAGACACAATAGAAAGGAGAGTCAGAGGAACCATTTACAAAACAATGTGAATGAAATGGAACAAGCTACTCTATACAGGGAAGTAACTTTCACTTTGTCAGTGAGGAATATGTTTCTGAGGACTGTATGCAACTTACTTCAAACAGCTCTATTTTAAATGATTGAAGGAGGAAAATTACTGTCACCATTTTCCTGAAATCTGTTATCTGCTAATTCTCTGGAGCTCAGCCATGTTTGTTTTCCTTTTTCAGATTGTTCTTTCCTTAGCAGATATTTGCTCTTATTTTCACATATTTGCACTGGCATATTTTAAAATAATCAGCTGAGATACAGGCAAAGACCTTTTTTCAATGCGAATGTCATCACAATGAATGAAAATAGCATATAAGCTATTCCAAACATCAGAATTATACTTCTTCTTTTTTAAAAACAAAGGAGGACAGTCATAATTATTCCTTATCATTTCTGATCTCAGTCCTTCCCCAAATTATATCTAATATGCACGCTCTGGGCTTATACCTTGAATTAATTGACCTAACAAGTTTTCCATTAACTGCAATTTCTGATCGGGTTTCAAGAGCAGTGTCCTCTTAAAGTCAAGACAGTTGCTCATAACTGTAAGCAAGTTATGAGTAATGACTGCTGAATGTAACTAATTTAGAAAGAGACAAAACTGGCACACTGTGAGATGGCACTCCTCACCACAACTGTCACAATTGTGAATCAAGTGGTAGCTAAGGATCAAAGAACACTCCAAACCTTTTCTTTCATTGGAAGTATAACCTTTTTCAAAATAATCTGAATCTCAGACAATCTCCTACTTATAATAGCATCTCTGTGTTTTCAGATTTAATTTCAGCTTATTGGATACAGGAAAATAATAAAATAAATCATAATTACTGCTACACCCTAAGACGTTCTACTATGGAACAATAAGAGTGCCTCATGATCACTAACTCTTTCGATTGTTAACTATCATAATAGTGATCATTAAACTCAATGAAAATCTCACAAGAAAAGCCTGAAAATGTAAACAAGAATACAAAGGATCTCTTACTGTTCCCAGAAGGCACTGTGATTCTTGGATAGCTCCATAACATCCTAGGAAACCCACAAACATCATCACTGCTCCAACAGCAATCAAAATATAGATTCCTGCAGGGGAAGACGAAAGAAATGCACATTCATTAACTCGGGATGAACATATCGTATCTTGTTATGTGATTAACAGGCATGGATATTCTATGAAAGTTGGATTACAGAACTAGGCAGTGGCAGGAGGGCAACAATCCACTTCATAAATATGAATCAGATTAGATGAAACAAAAGCTGAATGATTTTCTGTTTCTAAAAGTAGTGAATCAGAAGCTCACAAAGTACCTCACAAAGATGTGCACGAAGGGATTTTCCCAGCATATTCAGACCAAGAGCGCGTCTGCAGATGGAAGCCTTCTAATTATCACTTCCAATGCTGCAACTGGTCAAATCCCCTTTTAAAGGCATAAAAACTAATAGCAATAAGAGCTATACCTCAGTTAAGCATTCTGTTGGGAAGAAAGAACCCAACTGCCCAGCTCCCATATATACTGTTATCAGCTCCGTTCAGCACGGCCAGGTTAGGGATAAATAAAAATTTTGTTCCATGCAGGTAGTCCTCAGCTTATGGTCACAATAGGGATCAGGATTTCCATTGCTAAGCAAGGTGGTTGTTAAGGGAATCGTGCCTGAAGTTATGACCTTTTTGCCATGGTTGGCAAGTGAATCACTACGGTTAAGTGAATCATGTAGTTGTTAAGAAAATCTGACTTCCCCCATTGACTTTGCTTGTTGGAAACTGGCTGGGAAAATGATGATAACATGACCCCAGGATATTGCAATCATTGTAATTACATGCCGGCTGCCAAGCTCCCACATTTTGATCACATGACTGTGGGGATGCTACCTACGATAGTTGTTTGTGGGAGGACCAGTCATAATTCACTGTTTTCACTGCTACTGTAACTTTAAATGGTCACTAAACAAATGGCTGTTATGACAATGTTTCTTTTGGAGCTGTGTCAAAAGGCTAACAACCAATAATGAAATCAAAATGCATGACTGTGGGAGGAGTGATGGTGGTGGTGTTTATATTTTGACAGTACTGTTGGAATATGAAGGGAAAAAAATAATAACTTGAAAAATACTGGCAGCACTGCAGTCAGATTTATCTTATTTCCACAAAACACCAAGGAGAGATATAGAGAACTGGCTTTTTTTTAAACCGAGACACTACAAAATACTTCTTGAAACTGGTAAAAATATAGAAGGAGAATTGATATTCAGTGATGCAATGCAGCTTTGTAGCAAAAACACAGCCTAAATCCTATGCAGATGTCCTTCCATTGGAAAGTTATTAAAATAACATTTCTCAAGCAGATAATAACTACAGAGGAGAACTGAATGCTTGATAAGGACAAAGGACAGAGATAATGAGATACCGGTATTCTTGCTCAAAATCTAACCAGACTTTTACCCACTAAAAACAACATTTTAAATTTCAGTTCGGATCCCACAGACACCATGTGGGAGAGTTAGGTGGATCATGGCGCCTCCTGGCCCACAAATGCTTTTGTTGACTCCATAGTGATGCACATAAAGTGAAAGACTGGGAATTGCTGCCATGAATACAATTCAGTAGACTGGCTGGAGGCCAGAAGAGCAGCAAGAAATAATTTGCAAAGACTTCATTTTAGTGCACTGGGTTGGGAAAGATGAAGGGATTCAAAAGAAGAGGGGTGTCTTTCAAGTTCTTTGAAATAAAGGGAGAGACTTCTCTTTCAGCCAACCTCTGGTAACACAGACAGATCCTTCCTGTTACCTGAGGTTCGCTGCATCAAGCTATGGTGAAACCAAAAAGGACATTGACTATAAGTAGTCCTCCACTTATGATCATTATTGAGCCCAAAATGTCTGTTGCTAAGTGAGACTGTTGTTAAGTGAATTTTGCCCTATTTTATTACCTTCTTGCCACAGTTGTTAAGTGAATCACTGCAGTTGTTAAGTTAGTAGCACGGTTATTAAGTGAATCTGGTTTTCTCATTGACTTTGCTTGTCAAAAGGTCACAAACAGTGATCACGTGACCCAAGGACACTACAACCACTGTAAATACAAGTCAGCTGTCAATCGTCTGAATTTTGCTTATGTGACCATGGAGATGCTGTAACGGTTGTTAAGTGTGAAAAGTGATCGTAAGTCACTTTTTTCAGTGCTGTTACAACTTCAAATGGTCACTAAGTGAACTGTTGTAAGTCGAGGACCACCTGTATTTTACATTTCTGGCTCATTCGGATCCACTTGTTTGAAAGCTAACAATACTTTCAAGGAACAGAACTGGATAAAGATACAACGGTGTAGCCCTATTCTCTTTGGTTTATGACATGTGACTTGCCTGCTCATTTATTTGGTTCTATTACTGGCCTTTTAAAAAGAGCAAGTTTGCTGTAGTGATTAATAATCTCTTAGGTTGGAAACTGGGAGACCGTGAGTTCTAATCCCACCTTAGGCACAAAGGCAGCCGGGTGACCTTAGGCCAGGGGTAGGCGTGGCTGGCTCAGGAATTCTGGGAGTTGAAGTCCACGAGTCATAAAAGAGCCAAGGTTGCCTACCCCTGCCTTAGGCCAATCACTCCCTCTCAGGCCTAGGAAGAAGGAAATGGCAAATCACTTATGAAATCTTGCCAAAGAAACTGCAGGGAATTGTCACTTAAATGAGGTCCTTTGCTTTCTCTAAACGGGGCACAATGGCTCAGTGGTTAAAGACAGCCTGGATTCTAACTCCAAGCTCCATGCAATGGGGTGAGCTCCCATTACTTGCCCCAGCTCTTGTCCATCTAGCACAGTGTTTCTCAACCTTGACAATTTTAAGGCATGTGGACTTCAACTCCCAGAATTCCACAGCCAGCATTGCTGGCTGTGGAATTCTGGGAGTTGAAGTCCACATGCCTTAAAATTGTCAAGGTTGAGAAACACTGATCTAGCAGTTTGAAAGAATGCAAATATAAGTAGACTAATAGGTACCACTTCGGTGGGAAGGTAACAGCCTTCTGGCGTATACCCATGACCACAGAAATTGTCTTCGGACAACGCTGGCTCCCTTGGCCAAGGAACGGAGAGGAGCACTGTGCCTTGGAATTGGACAAAACTGACAGGGAAACCTTTACCTTTTCCTTTCTCTAAGCAAACCTGAAAAATGTTTGTTGAACCCATCTCAATCTCTCATCCCCAACAGTGAATTAATTATAAGCACAAATTCCAGGTGTTTTATGCAACATCCAACATATTTCTTTTTATTCTTGTGCAACTGAAATGGTAGAAATACAAAATACTGTACTCGTGTAAACGTAACTTTTTTGTGTGTGTAGTTTTTTTTTTACACACTGGAATTTCAAAAGCGTAAGACAACTGCGTATTACCAATAATAAAACCACAAATACCATGAAAGGAATACAGCATCACATGGGCTGAACTTCCCTTTAGCAATCCAACTTAAAACTTATCCAGCATTCCACAGGATAAATTACTAATTTATTGCTGGCTACTTACAAGTACATACTAGAAGGGTGGTGTGACAGCTCAGCAGTTAAGATGCTGGGCTTGTCGGCTGGAAAGCTGACAGCCCAGGTTCAAGACCCCAGCGTCATGTGACAGGCTGAGTTCCCATCCTTGCTCTAGCTCCTGCCAACCTAGCAGTTCAAAAGTACGCAAATCCAAGTAGATAAATAGGTATCACTTCAGTGGGAAGGGAACAGTGCTCTGTGATATTATGCTGGCTGCATGACAGTACAAATGTCTTTGGACAGCGCTGGCTCAATGGCCCTTGAAACAGAGATGAGCACCACCTCCTACAGTTGGCAACGACAAGTAGTAGTAAAATCCACAGGGACTCCTTTACCTTTACTCACAAGTAAAGAAAAACCAATGAATTGTAGAGGCTGCAACATTTCACTTATATTAAAAATCTCATGCATTAAGTTTTATTTAATCTTCATCCAACTCCTTTTCTTATATTGGGTGGGTGTGACAGGATTTACATTCCCAGAAATCTGAGGAGCTCCAGGATGAATTAAAGTTTTCACACCAGAAGGCATCACACACCAATTCTGCCAAATTTTCAGCATAGCTTGCAAATAGCAAAAATGGAGAGAAGTGGATAGGATACAACATAATGGGAAGAGAGAAAGAAGAGATTTGATCACTTAATGGCAGTCAGGAAGTAATAAAATAATTGAGAAGCTATTGGGAGTAGAGCCAGAATTTTTCTAAAATATAGACAAATAGCCTTTATTGAGTTTGTCCCTAACAGCAGAGCCAAGCAGACAACCGGAGACTAATAAAATGAGACTATTTTATGCAATTTAATTTAAAACACAAACAATAGCAAAACACCCAAGCATGCAGTGACCTTCTACACTATTTGAGCAAATCAAAAGAGAGTGCCATAGATTTTTAATAGTATTGTATTTTCTTAGCTTTCAAATATATGTTCAAGCTTGTCTTGGCATTCAATCAAATCCATCCATCCATCCATCTATCTATCATCAAGCAAATTTATATATCCACCCAACTCTCACACAGCTGACTCAGGATAGCTTACAAAATTTAAAAAATCCATCATATAATGAAAACCCATAATGACCCCTCCTGTGACAGCAACTACAGAGTCATCTCTATAGAAGAAACCAGACAGTCTTTTCTGAGGCACCAATTCCCCGAAACCTGTATTACACAATCATTTAAGACAGTCTATTTTTGAGTGAGTGTGAAGCATCTGATAAAAACGGCTGTTGATAAAAACAAGATTGCCAACATGATCGCCAACGTCCGATAACGGATATGGCACAAGAAGAAGAAGTGAAACATCTGAATTAGCTTAAACATGGTTCCCAAAACCTGATGCTCTTCAGATATATTGGACTAAAACTCCACTAGTTTTGGATCAAATGATCTAGAAAGAGGGTTATTTGGAAATCATTAAGCTGGGGAATGCTGAAACAATTGAGAACTACAGCCAAAACAATAAAATGAAAAAAAAAAAAACAGAGCAAAAACCTGTTAAGTAGGCAATAGATGCCTCGTTAGAAATCTGTGAAAGTCACAGCCTTTCTCAGACTGTCTTT